TCTTTCCCTCCCTTCCCTGCCCTCCCCTCCCTTCCCCGCCCTCCCCTCCCATCTCTCCCTTCTTACCCTCTCCCTCCCTCTCACCCCTCTCTGTCTCACCTGTTTTTGGTTGCACTTATTTGTTTACATAACTGTTTTCTCCTAGTAGACTGCCTCTTAAAGGAAAAGACCCTTTCTCATTCACTTTTGTGTCCCCTGTACCTAGCACAGTATCTGACACATGATAGGAGCTCAGTAAGGGTCTGCAGAAGAAATAAATCAATGAAAGTCATAGACCATAAAGACTGTCAAACCACCCTAGAAAGTAAGTGTCAGTCACCTCAGTTACCTTTATCAGTAGAAACGGGCAGTTATATAGGTAATCGAAAATATCAGATATTCTAAAGAGTGTATATGTGTGTGTTGCTTTGTACGATGTTTTGCAACATTTAATCATTCATCGAACAAATATTTATTAAGCAAACTAGGCACTGTGCTTGGCAGAAATGATATGTTTACTATATTAAGAATAAAATGAAAAGATGTGGTTACTGTCCTCAGCGGGTTTTCAGAGGAAGAATCAGATCAGCAAACAAAAATAGTTGGGAAGTACAGGTGGTGTGTGCAAAAGGAATCACTGCAGTTGTCCTTTAAATGGAAGTTGTCCCTTACGTAAGTAAGAGGAACACCTGATATAAATAAGATCTGGGGTATCAAGGAAGGCTTCCTGGAAGATGGTACTAAACTAAAACCTGACAAGAGAGTAGAAAGGAGTTCAGAGGAGTGGAGGTTTTCCAGGCAAGAAATGACCCTAGTGACGTCAGTAGCAGCCAGATCATGAAGTGCCTTGTGAGTCTTTTTTAGAGATTTGAACGTTATTCTGCATACCTTTATAGAAAATTTTAAGCTGGGAAGTGACATAAGATTTGTGTTTTTGAAAGGACACTGGCAGCATTTGGAATGTGACAGTACTGGAGACAGAGATACAAGTGAGGAGGCGATTGCTATTATCCAGGCCAGAGACGATAGTAGCCCAAACAGCGACAGGACCGATAACATATAAGATGAGGAAGAAAGTAGTAGCAGAGATGACCAGAATATGCTGTTGTAAGCGATGGCTGTTTTGGACCTAGATGGTCAAGAGTGGACTAAATTTCCACATAAGTAGAGTTGTCACTTGTTTGCAATAGTAAAGTGTCCATTTGGATCACATTGAGCTGTATTATAATTTTTAAGGACGCTTTATCTTTGTTACTGATCTTCAAGTGGTAATAACTCCTGAGCTTTTAGAAGTTACTGTTTCTCCCCACTCTTTCTACCTTTAATTAAGGGAACTCCTTTTTAAAATTGTTGTAACTCCTTTATTTGTTTGACATATTGGTTATTACATGTATTCCCCTGAGTAGGTTATTTTTACGAGTTCCTTGAATAAATGGCTGTATTTATACATTTTGTATCCCTTTGCCTCCACTCCCGGCCCCCCTACCAAAGTTAGCATTGGGATCTTATCAACTAGTAAATGATATGATGGTCATTTTAGACTTTTGCATGTTGTGCCCTATTAGGAAATGATACACATATAGTCTCTCGTTATTTTGCGTCTGAAGTCAGCTTCTTCCCTTCCCTCAACCCAGGACGTTACCATGTCTTCCTTACAGTTCCTCTGACATAAACTTGGAAGCCAAGGTATAAAACTTTCTCTGCATTACAAAAGGAATCATTACGATAGTCCTTTAAATAGAAACTTCCCTACTGTATATAAGAAATGGATTTGTACAATCGATTAGTTAAAGCAGTGTAATCATCTTATATTATTATCTTAAAATGAGTACCTGGCTATCTTTCACAAATTATTCTTTTAATTCTTTTTTCTAGTCTCTACTTATATACAAGAAAATAAAACATTTTTAATGAAAATTTAAGCTTTAAGCTATCAAGAGCTAGAAAAGGTTACCTAGATCTTTTTAATTCCCTTTCAGAACCTAATGTTGCATGAAGCTAAGAAGAGGTCAGGAAGTAAAGGTGGGATCTAGCTGTACCTATCTCTGATCACTTGGAGGAAAAAAAAAACTATCCTATCAATGATATGATCTTTATTCTTATATTTCTAACTTTGTCAGTGATTTCCTGTCTTGCCATTGAGAATAGTTTCACTTTTGTGTATGTCAAAAATAAAAAAAGGTAGAAAGGTCTCTACACAGTGGATAAATAAGTTAATGATTAGAAATGACAGTGAAAGGTGATTTGCACAATTTAGGCCAAGATCACTGGATTTTATTTTTTTGTATATAATGCTGTTACCATTGATTTCATCATTTACATTCATTTGTTTAATGAAGTTGGACACAGTATAACAATGTTGACTTCACCTATGAATTTGTCTTTTTTAGTGAGTTAAAAAAAGGAACCTGCCTTCGGTTTGCTGGAAGTGGAAATGAAGAGAATCGAAATAACTCATATCCTCACAAAGCAGGTTTTGCCCAACCTTCAGGTCTTTCTCTGGCCTCAGAGGATCCCTGGAGCTGCCTGTTTGTAGCAGATAGTGAGAGCAGTACAGTGAGAACCGTCTCACTGAAAGATGGAGCAGTGAAGCACCTTGTGGGAGGAGAGAGAGATCCTATGGTAATGAAAAGTACTCTGGTGTGGTGTGCCTGCTTAACAAGCTTGTGATTTTCTGAATTGTGAAGAGTTAATAACATTTAGGAAGGAGAATGTTCTTGGCTTATCCATGTTAAAATGGAAGTCAAACCAAAGGAAATGTGAGTATGAAGAAATACAAGTAACAAAACCACCTAAGAAAATAAAATGACTCGATTATATATAAATGTCAAAGTTTCAGGGAAAAAGGAAAGATAAAATATTGATTACCAAGCAAGGGGAAAATGTAGATTAGATATTTGGCAGTAGGGAGGAAAGAGCACCAGATCAGTAGACTTGACCTGTTCCTGATCAGATATGTGATTTTTGTGAATAAAATTCCTAAGCACCACAAATTAATTCAAGTTCAGAATTCTATCATGTTTTTCTACTTTCAGTCAAATGCCCAACCCTATTTATATGAAGTCAGACTTTTTCCCCTTTAAGTAGCATATACAGCTATCTTAATTTTCACTTTATACCCTGTAAAAAAATTTAATACATGCTGTTTCTTTCTTTCTTTAAAAAAAAAAAAAAAAAGAATTTATTTGCTTTTGGTGATGTTGATGGAGTAGGAATCAATGCAAAGCTTCAACACCCACTTGGAGTAACTTGGGACAAGAAAAGGAATTTAGTTTACGTGGCAGACTCTTACAATCACAAGGTGAGTCTTGAAAGAAATATATAATACCCTGCTTTTCACTTTTGGTATTTAAAATGCTGAAAGATCTGTGAGCCTCCTACAATTGCCGCTAAAATATAGCGAGGAATGACAGTTTTGGACAACTGTACATAAGCCTTTCTGTTCTTTTCTTGGTCCTTTCTTGCAGAGAGGATGTGATGGTCCTCTGAGCTGGGGGGAGAGGACTGAACAAATTCCCAGTGACTGTAGCCAAAAATTGTGAATTGCAAGCCATTAAAGCTGCTTAGTAACATGTTGAGTAAATGAGGAGAAGGCAGGTAGCAGGCAAATTAACATGTCAGCTAACGAATGAACATTTTTGAGCCTTTGCACAGTTGCCACGCCTGTTAGCAAATAATTCCGTTTTCATCAGCATTTCCATTTTTTTTGTCTCTACTGCATTTTTACGGCGCATTTTTCCTTTTTATAAAATCAGTGGAACCCAAATGTTAATATTTTTGTGATGAGAGACTGTGAATTTAATGTAATTGAAACACAGTGAGGAGTCATTAAGTTTACCGTAAGTAGCCAAATCCTCAGCCAATGTTAGATATTCATGAGAAGAAAGTCAGTTCAACTCTGTCCCATTGTGAGTGAATAGAAGAACATTAAAAAAAATTTTTTAATTCCATAAATTATCAAAGATTGCTTCTAGAAGACAGGATGTAACTGGGGATTTTATAGTGTTTAGCCCTCAGAATGAAATATCTCCCCTTAGACTGTAATTTGAATGTTTGGCTTTTCAAGAAAATATGGAAATGTCTGTTCTTTTTCTGAGATTTATTAAGAATACTAATGTCAATCAGGAATTCCCTGGCTTGCTTAATATGATACTTTTCCATACTACAAATGTGCAGTTGAGCTTCAGATATATAAATTTTTGTTCTATCTTCTTAGATTAAAGTTGTGGATCCAGAAACAAAAAACTGTACAACATTAGCGGGAACTGGAGATGCAAGTAATGTTATCGGTTCCAATTTTACCGACTCAACTTTTAATGAACCAGGAGGCTTGTGTATTGGAGAGAATGGTCAGTTATTATATGTGGCGGACACCAATAACCATCAAATTAAAGTGATGGACTTAGAAACAAAAACAGTTTCTGTGGTAAGTAATCTTTAAGTTAAAGGGCATCATTTTAAGAAAGATTCTGAGATCCTCAGCAACAACAGAGGCACTTTCGGTTAGGCCATCTCTAGTGCTGAAAGTGAAACGTGGGTAGAGTAGTGAGTGGGTGCCTATTCCAAGGATATCCTGTTATTTTTAAAATAAAAATTCTATTTGTGCCAAGAGTGTTTGAGAAAGATTCTAGAAGTTGGAGAGAGTCTGATGAACTTTCAGAAAAGGAAAAAAAAAAGGACTCATCTGTTTTTAAATGTATGGACATACTGACACACTACACATACAAACTATGTGGGTTGGGTTGTTTAATCTTGGGGTTTTTTTTTTTAATGATCCTCTGACTAGTGGGTAATCTTTGTTTCCTATGGTGAATCCATTACCAAATAATCTTTAAAGGAAGCTCTAGGAGCCACGTTTCTCAAGACTTAAAAATAAGATTGAGGGCTTCCCTGGTGGCGCAGTGGTTGAGAGTCCGCCTGCAGATGCAGGGGACACGGGTTCGTGCCCCGGTCCGGGAAGATCCCACATGCCGCGGAGCGGCTGCACCCGTGAGCCATGGCCACTGAGCCTGCGCATCCAGAGCCTGTGCTCCGCAATGGGAGAGGCCACAGCAGTGAGAGGCCTGCATACCGCAAAAAAGAAAAAAAAAAAAAAAAAAAGATTGGAAGAAACTTAAGTAAGTTCTAATTTTAAAGATATCGATATGGTCTCTAATACAAGTTACCCCTTTATATATCACATTTGCCTGGAAAAATGCAAGAGTTTTTTTTCTAAAATTCTAGGAATTTCCAAAATGTGTTTAAAAATAAAAACACAGATTCCCATCATAAGTGTCATTTCTCTTGACATAGATCTCTGATATAAGATGAATGACATCTTATAGTTGGCAATGAAAATTATAAGAGGGCGTATAATATATCCACTACATTTAAATTGATAAAGTTTAATTTTAATTTCCTGCTATCTATAAACATATTGGACAGTTAATTTAATTCAGTTTCATTCATAAACGTTGGCAGTTTTTTGGCCAGGATGAAATATTTTTCTGAACCTACGAAATAATCATGAGGAAATTTAAGTAAACAGATTCTGATTCAGAAGAGAATGGCAATTAAGCTTCCTTGACACAGAATCTCATGTTTGTACTGAAGTCTGAAAATAAGCTCTGTCAGTCTATAATACTATAAAGTACTTGTGCTTTAAAAAACAGATTTTCTTGTTTTCTAGCTCCCAGTCTTCAGATCTGAAAGTGCCATGGTGGACGGCCCATTCCCAGCAGAAAAACAGAAGACCTTACCCAGACTACCTAAATCTGCTCCAGGCATTAGACTTTCCCCGGTGGCTGCATCTCCAGGGCAAACTCTTCAGTTCAAGCTAAGATTAGACCTCCCATCAGGAACAAAGCTAACTGAAGGAGCACCCAGTTGCTGGTTTCTGTCAGCTGAAGGTATGACAATAATCTTGCAAATGCAAATATTTCATAAATTCTTGAGATTTGATCTAGTAATTTTTCTCATTTGTGATATGTTTACAGTTGGGCAGGATTTGAGGAAGGTCTTGTAAAACAGACAGATCCAGATCGAACCCCACTTCAGCAGTTTTCTTTAGCCTTTGAGATTCTTTTATTAAATAATTGCCACCATTTGCTATTAAGCAAATTTATTACATGAGACAGACTCGTGTGGTCTTAGAATGTTAGGCCCTTGAATATTAGGGCTGAAAGGCACCAAAGGACACCATCTGTTTTAAGACTCGTATTTTATAAATGAGACTAAGGGCTCAAAGAGATAAAGTGATTTGCTGAAGGGCATATATTGAATTAGGTCAAAAGATGGAATTTGAACCCAGCTCTGCTGGTTCTTAGTGTAGTGTCTTTTCCATTGTGCTACTCCATCTCAAACTAGCTCTAGGGTTATTAGTCCTAAAAACGAAGTTAGTTTTTTAAAGACATAAAATTCAAAGCCACCAGTTACGCATTGGGATGTTACAAAAGTTTGCAAACCTCACTCTCGGTTTCTGTACTTAACTCACCATGGTTTGTGAACCAGCACCGGTCCACAGACTATATACTTTGGTGACCCTGTTCTAGAGCACTGCAGCATAAAGAGATCAAGGAGGGAGGTAGGGACCCACATGGAAGACCGAAGAGTGAATAAGCAAGTAGAAGCAAAACCAAGAGGGTAGTTTCCTGAAGCAGGTGTTTTAAGGAGCGTAATCAGCTGTGTTGAGTGTGATCGATAGATCAGGTGAAATAAGGACTAAGAATTGATCGTTGATTCAATGTTATAGTTAATTGATGTCCTCGACCAGGGCCGTTTCAGAGTGATGGAGGAGGTGCCTGATTAGAGCAGGTTAAAAAAGAATTGAAGGAGAGGAACTGGAGAAAGCAAATATAGATAGCTCTTTGAGGAGCTGAGCTAAAAAGATAAGGGGAAAGAGAGCAGTTGGCCGCAGGGGAAAGCGGAGTTGAGAGAGCAGTGTGTTTGTTATATTGATGGCAAAGATCAGTAGAGGAAAGGACTGATGGTATGTGTTGCGGGGTATCCTTTAGGCGGATAGGAGAGGTGGCAGGCTGGCCTTTGCCAGGAATTTGGACCTCATTTCCACGGTAAGGAGGGAGGGCCCAGTATGCGACCCAGAGATCTAGATGGGTAACTGTGGAGTGGATGCTTGTGGAAGCACTCTTCCGCATGCTTCTGTTTTCTTAATTATTGGGAAGCACGGCCATCAGCTGAGAGTGGGAGTGAGAGGTGGTGGGGGAGGTTTTGGCGGTTTGCAAAAAGAAGAGTGTCAGGAAGGTGGGAGGGTGACTGCATGAGGGAAGTACAGTGGTTGCTGAACGGCCGGGAGGCTGTGTTTGAGGCTGGCTGTCATGAATTGAAAGTTAGGCTAGTCCACGTGGAGGCCGTTTGTCTCCAGCCAAGGTGAGGCACAGGGAGCAGAAGTGTAGGTATTGGCTAAGCAGTTTAATCAGCAGGTCTCTGGGGTCCTGATCCAGTATTATGATTACCACTACACCACTAAATCTCACAGATTCTCTTCTAAAGAATTAAATTGATTTTTCCCTTGAGTTTTTTTTAATATATTCTTGTTTTTAACTGAATTAACTTGACACAAACTCTTTCTAATTCAGTTCTTTGGTGGTTTTATTATTATCTTTCACTTTTCCAGATAGCGTCTGTCAAACGCTTTAGAGCTTTTAGTTGCTGTTCATTTTATTTCAGTAGTATCATTAGGACTTGACTTACCAGTTATTAAGCCTGAAGCTGTGTTTTCTTCTCTAGGGATTCCAAAGGTAGAATTTGAGCCCCATTAACTTTCTTGCTGCAAGAAATTGGATGCCAAAGCCATTGCTTAAAAGTATGCCATTCAATAGAAGAAAAAACATTGTTGGAGGAGGATGTGTAATTAAATACAGATGAATTACTATGATTAGAGTCCAGGCAGAGCCTTTGTCCTCAGTCACTAATTTGTGATCTTTTAATCTCAGAACATTTCCTGTTTGAGTCTGTTCTCGAAAGTATTCAGTTACTGTAAGTTATGTAAAGATTTGGGTGTGTGTTTGAATCACAGTGTGAGCTGATTTCATGAATTTGTAAGTAATCAGTGTACTGCTTGTCTTCTAGCAGTGCTTTCCAGCATCTCTAAGAGAGTAGACAACAATTTGAAAGTGAACAGTAGTAGGTCCAGAACTACATTCTGACTCCCGGTCCCTCGTGATCTTGCTGTGTCCTAGCCTCCCGTGCTCGCTGTGTCCTAGCCTCCCGTGCTCTTTCACAGGTTCTCACTCAGTTTTGAATTTGCTGCCCGACTCCTCCTGTCTCAGGCCCTCTCACACACTTTTCTTTTGTACATTACCCAGATCCAGGCTTTATGCCTTCTTACCTTGGTACCTTCTCAGAGCAGCAGCTACTGTCCTACAAGTGCCCGCTTGGTACCCACACCAAGAGAACAGAGAGATCTGCCGGAAGGAACCGCTGAGTTAGAGTTTGCTGGCTCTGGAGTGACTGAGCCTGTGGGGAAATCACCCCCATCTACTCCCCACAAAGGAGAGGGCTGAGCCATGCAGTACTAGAGGATGTTTGGCCAGAAAAGAACTCAAACCCTGGCCATTCATTCCGCAGTCCTCTGTAGGTTCAGAGCAAGTCCTCAACTGCCAGTTTAACTGTTCTGCCTGTGTCCATTAGTCTGAAAGCACTGAATCATTTGGAGATAACTGCTCTTTAACCGCACACAGAAAAATTAACAGTATTTTTTTAATAGGATACTGGTAAATTAACATGTTTAACTGTCAAATACACAAGTTAATTAGTATCAAGTTATTGGAGTACAAAACATGGATAGTATTAAAGGAAAGTGAAGTGATCTAAAGAGAAAATTCTTAGCTATTTTTAGCTGTCTATTTTAGATACATGTGATGTGTCCAAAAATTATCTAGAGAAACACTATGTTTTATTTCTAGAATTGGACATTAAGATAGTGTAATTTACTATTTTCCTGTTTTCATTTAACATATAAGAAGTTCCCCCACTAGCCTGCTATCTAACAAAATCAAACATTAAAATAAAACATATTCTTCAGTCCAGAAGCAAGCAAAAAGGCCAGAGAATTTTAAAAGAATTGTTTAAAAGCTCTGCACTTAATAACTCTTTAGATTCTCAACCTTTCACATTCTCCTTACTCTTATTTGATATATTTATCTCAGATTTAATTTTTCAGTCAACAGAATATTAGAAGCAATAAACTAAAGGAGAGATGAAGAGGACCAGTAGAGGCAGGTGCTCTAGTCTGTTGACTCATCCTGAGGTCAAAAGAGAGAAAAGCTAAAAAGGAGACATGGAATTTCATCACTACTCAGTAGATGGTCCAGTTTTTGTACAGATGGCCCCGAGTCGTTGTTAAGTCGTTAGATTACGTTCAATGTATTCTATTTAAGATGGCAGGAAAGCAGGTCCTGCATTTCCCAAATGATGGCTCTTAATAGCCAATGCTGAGTGTCAGCCTGAGTATGCACTTCCTCAATAGGACGCATATGTGCCTTCTGAGAGAAGGCACTGGGTGAATAAAAACATTTTAAAAACTTTAATACTAGAAGACTTAATGATTTTTAGTGGTTTTTTAGACTTTTGTTACATAGATAATCTATGTATTTAAGTCTCAGAGGAGTTTTATGTGTATTTTAAAATGAGGTAGACAAAATCTGTTCGTTTTCTACATTGAGTCCCTTGGAATAATGTATTCAGTGTTACTTGTTTCTAAAAAAATCAGTGGCTTTTTTTTATTACCACCTTTGGATATTCAGTAATTCATCGTCTTGAAAGTCACTGCAGAGTTGTACATACATTTGTATTCCCTAGATTATTTTGTAGTTTGCATATTATATTTCTAGACACTTATCTGGTAAAAATGATCTATTTTCTGAAGTGTCCTATGTTTATTTCTAGAACTTATTAATAGTTTTCATTTTAAATTCTATAATCACATTTTAAATCTATAACCATATTGGCAGTATTCATCTGGATTTCAGTAGAAATAACTATAATTTATTTTACAGTGTTCAAAGGAAGAATTTTAATTTGACATCAAGATGATTAGACTAGGAACTTCTTATATCTTATTTTGTATCCTTCACACAGAGCACAGTGCCTGGCACTTAGAGGCTTTCAGTAAATATTTGTTGATTGAATGAATCTAGTGTTCGTAAGGTTTGTCCAATTTCCTACTTCTTATACAGTCTTAATAATTTACCTTTTTATTTTCTAGGCAATGAATGGCTTCTTCAAGGACAGATACCATCTGGAGAGATAGAGAGCATTTCCAGTCAACCAACAATCTCACTGCAGATTCCTGGGGATTGTTTATCACTTGAAGCCGTTCTGTCTATCAGCGTATTTCTTTATTACTGTAGTGCAGACAGCAGTGCCTGTATGATGAAGGGAATTTTGTTCAGTCAGCCTTTAAAAATAACCGATACACAACAAGACTACATACCTCCAGTAGAACTCAAGTATATATTTTAGCAAGCTGGCTAGCATCCCAGTGCCTCCTGTTCTCCAACCCCCACCATCACTGTGTAATTTATGAAAAGAAACTTTATTCCTGCCTCTGGGTACCCAGAAACCCATTGTTGAGTTCTAGCAACTGATACTAAAATAAAGCTATGCTCCTTATTTATTTATTATAGACAAATTCCTTCATTCTCACTGTGTACTAGCTAAGTGATTGACCGTGATTTGAACCATGATCCTGTAATCTTTGCTGCTATTTGGCACAAGAGTTAAGTCCACATTATAGGACAATATTATCATGAGATAATTTGCAGTGAATACTGATAACAATAATGATACCAAATTTTTTGCGGTACGCGGGCCTCTCACCGTTGTCGCCTCTCCAGTTGAGGAGCACAGGCTCTGGACACGCAGGCTCAGTGGCCATGGCTCACGGGCCCAGCCGCTCGGCGGCATGTGGGATCTTCCCGGACCGGGGCACGAACCTGTGTCCCCTGCATCGGCAGGCGGACTCTCAACCACTGCGCCACCAGGGAAGCCCCGATACCAAATATTTTAACTAACTTTTTTACATTTATCAAGCAACACATCTGAGTGTGTAAATTTCACAATAACTTTAAACAGAAGTTAAGATCCAGTCCACATATTATAAGGACACCTGCCATTCAAGGTGCAAGGTCTGTTTTAGGCCCCCAAAAATGTCTTTTCATCACAGTAGCAGCTTAAAGAGTACCTAGGTGGTAAAAATGTTCTTTGTTCTCTTCTGCGATTTTCTCATTTGAGATATATTTATTCAGTCTATTTTAAATTATTTGCTATTTTAACATGCCATTATTAATGGCATGTTAAATATTCTGTATGTTTCTATATACAGAAAATATATTTCTATATTTCTAAAAGTTAGAGTCTCTAAGGACATACAGGCTCACTCCTTTAACTTTTTTCTGAAATGAACAGTCTTACCAAATAACGGATGAATCCACAGAAATGTTATGACTTCCAAGGAGTAAGGGACTTTGGGACACATTACTGTCTGTGATACCACTTAAAGAACTGTGACACTGAATCTGATGCAAATGGGTATGTATGTTGTCTTAGAAGGTTACATTTCAGTTGAAGCGTTAAATGCAGATGTTGTTGGGTTTGGGGGTTTTTTTGGTTCCCATATTCAGAATTTAAATTAGGATCATTTATTGTGATGTTTTTAAAAAGTACTGTCAAGCCTTCAAAGTGAATATTTCATTGTGAAGCACTTTCATGCTATTAACATGTATAGGTCTTAATATATTACTTTAAAGTATGAAGGCTGAAACATACAGTGAGTTGCTGACACTTTTTTGGTGGGGGTTTTTTAACCGTAAAAGAAATAGTCACCGGAAGATACTGAAAGGTTTTTTTAATCATAATTTCTCTTTATAACTATTTTTAGAGCCTCTGCTTGTTTTTACTAAAACTGATTCAACATGTTTGTGGTTTAATCAGCTTTACAAGATTTTTAAAAACAGGAGAATCGTATTTATTCAGTAAATATTTATAGACATTATTATAGCATAATATGCCTTCTCCCTTCAAAACCAGGGCTCAATCTGAAGTGTAATTTTTTAAGCATGATCATCTGCCCATAGCTTTATATTTTTTTGAACTACAGTTTTGAACATACTATTCACTTCTCTTTTTCAAGTTACCTAAATCTGAAGTAAGGAAATGCATAGATCATGACTTTCGTCTAATCTGTAGCCTGCTAAAGATATTTTTAAAGAGAAGTATTATAAACGTAAAGTTAAAAGGAATTCTGATTAAAATTTTATATAAGTACCGCATAAACCTTTTCTCTCCATAAAAAAAATATGTTCTGTAATAAAAGGATGTATAACATGAATTTGCTCTTTTATGGAGAATAGGCCATGGTAATTTTTTAATCTCATTTTATTATTATAGTTCTCATTTCCAGTTGGACAGGATAGTTTGGCTTAATTTTTTCCTATTTAAGGACAATAATTTCACTCTCTGAAAGAAGTATGTACAGTTTTAAATTGCTAATTCAGGAATGCCTGATAACTATTTTTTCAGTATTATACACAAATATACACACAGTATGTATCTTCATGTACACTAAAATCCAAAAATATTTCTTAGATGTTCACTTTATCTAGACAGAGTTTTCTGTTAGTATTAAGCTTATGCTCTTCTTGACTTTCAAAGTACAGTTTTACTGAACATTCTTATTCTTAGCCAGCCACTGGTCTGCATTGTTTTCTACCTTCAAAATATTATTTATATGGATTGGTATGATTTTTTGTAAATCATATTAAGCAATATAAATAGGTTCCTAGAATTTATGACTAACATAAATCTCTTACATAAGAGGAGGCACTAGAAAGTCTATTTTTAAAAACTTTGTGATTCCTGACTTTGTTTTCTATAAAGTTTTCTGCATATTTTTTAACTTATGCATGAGGAAAAGCAAAAGTTATGTTCAGTGATTGATAGTTTAAAAAAAGATTTTAGTGTTAGTCACTGTAATCAAAGTGCCAGTAATGTGGCATTACATACACTTAGACATGATACCTGGGATCTTTGCCCTAAATTATTCTGCTGCTTTGTCACCACTTTTTCTGCCACTCGTTATGATATCATTTCACAAACGGTAGAATTTTCTTTTCTGAATTTGTACTCAGGATTGATAGCTCTGAAAAGAATTTTGCTTATCTTGAAAATGCTGTCTGAAGCAAATATTTAACCTTTTCACAAGGGGAAGCTTTACAGTTTAATCACCCATAAGTGTAACTTTGGTAAAGTTCAATGACTAAACAATTTTCTCCTTAACTGTTCTAGTAATATATTTAGCTATAGTGTTATCAGGCCTGCAGAAAGCTATAAATCTTAAAACAAAGAGCCAAAAAAAGCTTAGTATATGTAGATGAGTGTATATATATATATATGTGTGTGTGTGGATATATACTTATGCAGATACAAAGATCAACTCAATTTCTCACATGGCCAATATACTTTGGAGCTAGTACCACTGAAATAAGTTATTCTCTGCTTGTTTTTCCATAGTTGGAAAATTTGCGAAGACATTAATAATACATACCTCTGTAATATAATTTTCTGCTTGCCCGACATTTAGCATTAGTTTATATCTGCCAATTAAAAACAGGCTAGCCATTATATTTGGCATCATGTTTAAGAACAGTCATCAAAAACTAAATTTCATAGCTCACGAGTTGCATAAAAATATATATGCAGAGGCACTATGTCAGTGGCGGACTATGAATGGTGGACTTGTGAATATTTTTGTTTTCTACTTTTCCGTAATTTTTTTTTCATTGAGCGATGGGTTATTAAAAAAGAACAAAAAAACCAACTGGGAATGTGCTTTAAAGATTTAAAATGAACTGAACAGTAAGGGCTTTTTCTATAATAGCTTTTCTAAAGTCACTTTTATTACCAAAGATCAGAACACAGTTTAGAGCTCTTTGATCTACCACTTCTCTTAAGTATGTGATTTGGTGGAGACAGAAATGATTATGGCTTTTTCTGCTGGAGTTTTTATTGTGTGATGTAGCATAGCGTTTATGAGCACACTTTGCAGTCGCTTGGATTCTGCCCTATAAACTGGGGTTGCTATACCTGCCTTATGGAGTTGCCGTAAGGACTCAATGAAATAGTGTTTGTATAGCAGTTAGTAAATAGTGAAACTGCTAGTTATTGGCTTAGTTAATAATAATGATGATAATTTATGTCTATAAACACACGGCTTCACATTTTCTTTGCAACCACAGTTTCTAAAGGAAACTATTTCTCTATCAACTGTTTGGTATTTAATACTCTCCATAGAGTTGGAATTCAAGAAGAGAAAGTTTTATAATAAACATATTACTATTTTATAAATGTTGTTATAAAGAAACATACCTACAGTTTTGTTTTTTAAAGTTTTTTTAAGACCTGGAACTGAGTAATTAAACTTCCTTAGAGGGTCCAGACATACCCTAAACCACATTCCTGGAACATACTCTGACGGTGCTTTCCCAAATCTTCCAAGTGCCTTCATGTGTTTTGCCTCATTTGAGCTTCAGAATAACCTTATGAATCAGACAGGTAGATCTTATGTCCATTTTACAGATGAGGAAGCAGCTTTAGAATGTTGGCAACGTGTCTCAAGATCAGCGCTCCCTGAATAATGGCTGATGCTGGAGTGGTGCCTGGTGCAGGCAGCTGCTCAGCCAGTTCTGTTGAATGACTAAGGGTGACTAGTGAGTGATGGATCTTTTATTTGAACACAGATCTCCTAATTCCTAGCTGTACTCCTAGATGTAGAGTGAAAACAGACTGGGATTAAGAGTACTTACTTTTGTGAATGCTTTCTTAAGCCTTTGGCAGTACTTAAAGTAATAATAGCTAAATTTATTCAGTGCTTACTATGTGCCTGACACTTTTCTAAGTGCTTTCTGTGTATTAACTAATTTAATCCTCACAACCACCTTATGAGGGAGGTACTATTTTTCCTTATTTCCCTGATGAAGAAACTGAGACATAAAGAAGTTACAAGCAGTTACACCAGTGTAATGGAGATCACACATTTAGGACTGGCCGAGCCTGCGTGCGTCTACTCAACTACCATGCTGTGGTGCCTGCCTCTCAATTTTTTTTTTAAGCATAAATCTTCATAGTTATATATAGTAACTAATCAACACAAAGAACCCCCAAAATCCTAGTGGTGATTGTTTTTGAAATGTAAAGTAAATCTGTTTAATTTTACTAGCTTTGGGGACGTTTCATTATACATAGTTATCCTTCAGGGTTTGGAACAGTCTGTATAATTGTTTTTCCCAGAAGATTTTATGTACCATTCTTTCTTAAATTCAGATATTATCCAGTTTTTCTTAGCAGATGGATGTATTAAATAATTAAATAGCTTTTCAGTTCTAGTTCCAACAGTGCTGTTTTAATTGGTCTTCAGAAGGTAATCGTAAGACCTTCTCACAGAATTCTTAGCACAGGACTCTCTCAAACCCTTAAAAGCTTATTCATATTTAAGAAAATACCGTTTTAATAACCAAAGTGAGCCCTAGAAACGTAATATTTGGCCAATCTGTTAACACAAAGTCATCTGCCTACTTGATTCGTAAATAGCACTGAAGTATGTAGGCCTCACCCCACCCTGCAAGAC